CATAAGAGGCTTGGGCATACATATAGTTGGGCATTGAACTCTCAAACATAATAGGAGAAAAAAGCAGGGATAGGGAAGACTGAGTTAAGAAGAAGACAGTAAGAGGAAGAGGATAGTGGCAAGCAAAATGATCTGAGAATCCTAAAGTGGATAGCAAAACTGGGGAGGGAAGCAAAGAACTAGAATGTGCCTCAGATTGCCTCTCGGACAACTGAGTAATGGCTGAACACATTGTGGTATGTGTATGCAATAGAACATTATTGCACAGTAAGAAATTACAAAAAAAGATTATTTCAGAGAATACTGAGTAGTTTGAACAGAGTGACATGAGCAGAACCAGAACAATTTACACAAGGACAGCAACATTGTTAAGAAAAACAACTTTGACAGACTTCAGAACTCTGATCAATGCCATGACCATGACCATATCCTCAGAAGCCCTCTGATGAAATATGTTACCCATCTCCTGACAGAGAGGAGATGGACACAATGTGAAGAGACATACGTTTTTGGACACGGCCAAAATGTATTGTTTCCTTTTGTTTTACTGTGCTTATTTGTTACAAAAGTTGGGGTGGGGGTGAGGAGCACCGTAACTACACAATTACGTAATTACAAAAGGGCCATTCAGAACAGCTTAAAAAATGAGTGGAGAACAATTGGAAATTCTGAAAGAAGCAGGAGCAGGACAGTTTTGAAGGTAATATATATAATTTATTATAGAGACTTTAAGAACAGCAAGCAGTATTAAATGTGGAGGCCCCTAGTTTCATAGTCATCTGTATTCTGCTATGCATGAAAACAATTATTTCAGTGTTTAAGTTCAGAATGAAAACACTTAAAGGGAAGGCAAAGCATAGTGATTATTTGCTTCCTAACTTTCGTTTTATTCTAGTTGAGACTGGATGATTACTTGTTAGTGACACTGATGGTGATTCCCGTTCAGCTACGGATTGTCCTAGATTACCTCTGTTGCCTTTTCTTTTACATTTTTACCGGCTTTCACTTATTTTTTTTTTATTATGAACTTGACACATTTCAAGAAATATCAATTTTCTTATATAAAAAAACAGAGTTGCCTATGACAAAGTGAATCTCTATTATGCACAGCTTGTCTTTTTGTAAATACATATTCATCTTAACATAGTAGTTCCAACACTTCTCTTTTTTGGAGACTATTTTAAAAATGTTTCATTCATGCTTTTTTTAAAAATCATTACCACTATCAGCCTCCTCCCCCTCCCCCCATAAAAAGCCTTCTCTTGTAACAAATTAGTCAAGCCAAACAAATTCACATTAGCTACTCCTAAAATTTTGCCTCATTCTGAACCACTAGCACTTTTTTCCATCATAATAATTTTCCCCAGACCCCTTACTGTTCCATGTAACAATGACAAAGTAAAAGATAATTGACCAATACAGCAATTGTGTCTGCACCTACCACATACTGTATCCATAATGATGTGATTTCTGGGTTCAAACTGGGTCATTGCATTTACTTTGACTTGTCTTTTTGTCTAGTTTTAAAATACTTATTATTGTAATTATTTCATATTATTTCTCCTGGTTATTTCATTATCAGTTCATACATGGTTTTCCCATATTCTGAATCCTTCCTATTTCTTTCCTTATAGTACAATATTTCATCACATTCATATATTTCAATTCAACCATCTCCCACTGAATAAACACACACTTTGCTTTTCAATTTTTTGGTACCAAAAAAGTGTTGTTATATTTTGGTATGTGTAAGTCCTTTAAGTTTTTTGACTTCTTTCAGGTGCATGCCCCGCACTGGGGATGACAGTCAAAGCAGATGGATTGGTAACTTTTTTCAAATCTAAATTGTTTCCTGGGAACAGTTGGGCTGACTCACAACTCCATTATTTGTGTAGCTCAAGTTCTTCGGTCCTTTTGTTGTTTCAGTAGTGTTTGACTCTTTGTGATCCCATTTGGCTTTTGTTTTCTCGTTGGAGTGGTTTGCCCAGGTCACACACCTACTGTTTTGAGGATGGATTTGAGCTCATGAAGATGGACTTTTCTGACTCCAGGCATGGTGTTCTATCTACTGTGCCATCTACCTTTTCTTTTACAACGACCTTGTTTCCTTCTATCAACTTTGCCGGTTTGATGGGTGTGGGATAAAACTTTCCATTTTTTTAATGTAATAATTATCAGTGATTTGGAGTATTTTCCCATGTGGTTACTGGTATTTCTCATTTCTTTTGAAAACCTTTGCCCACTTATCTACTAGTAAATGGTTCTTGGTCCTATTTGTGTCAGTTCTCCATGTATCTTAGAAACCAGACTTACCAGATGTTTAATGCAGATTTTTCTCATGCTGTCATTCTAAATGCTGGTTTGTCATGCCAAACCTTTTTAATTTTAAGCACTTAAAAGTTTTTTCTTTATCTTTATATCTTAATTTATTAATTTTACCCCTAGATATAGTTCTCTTAATTTTTTAATGACATGACCTAATGATATTTAGGTAGTATGTGGCATACAATGTTGGCCTATTTTTAGTCTGTTTCTCCCTTTTGCCAGCAGTTCCCACTGAAAAGGGATTCCTTTTTCCAGTAGCTTGTGATCTTAGGTTTCTCACAGGGCTACTGTATTTATTTCTAGGTCTTGCTTGTCCAGTCTGTCTGGGACAGACCTGGTATAAAGTCTTTTCCAACTCTGAAATTCTGTGATTGTACATTTAAAGCTGAATTCATTTGCAGGGTCTAATTTTATTTGTAAGAAAAACAAATTAGGGGCTAAATCCAAAAAATAAAAGATATTTATAGAGGAAGAATGGGTCAGTGCAGGCTGCAGGTCCCCCACCTGTCTAGGCACTTGTGGCATCTTGCCACCAACTAAAGCACTTTTAACTCCAATTCAAATTAAATGGGAATGCTGGTTACTACAGACAAACCAACCAACCCATCAATCAGGTAATTTAAGGTCTATTTTGTATTATTGGAATTACTTTGTGCTAATAGTTGTTTAATCTTTATCATCATTAAAATGATCTTAGAATGTTTATTATTCTCATCTACATGCCTTTATTCAAACTATCCATTCTCTCCTTTCAAAATGTCTTCCCTGACCAATTTCTATCTCCTGTTTAAATAAAACGCATTCTCGTTTCTTCAGTGTATATTAATATCTTCCATCTTTAAATTCCTATTGTATTTATTGTCTTTACTACACAAATTAGTACTTAATCATGTAATATCTTAAATTTGTTTCATGTCCCCTCACCCAGCAGGCACCCACTAAATGTGTGAATTAAATGTGCACACATTGTTTCCTCAACTATAGTATAAACTCATTCAGAGGAATGACCTTAGTCTTCTATATTCTTGTTTGCCTTATGATACCTAGCACAGGATTGTAAACATCTATTTACCTGTGAATTTTAAGGAATAAATAGGATTGGCAATAAATTAGCAAAAAGAATCTGTCTAAATTGGAGCATATAGCTTTTGTTCAAAACAGAGGGAATGAGTTAGCTCCTGAGACTTTCCTTTTCAAATCCTAATCTCAGCTCAGAAAAATGACATGTTCCTTGAATTACAGAAATAATTTTCTCTTAGTGTCTTGAAACAGCTTTTATTTCCACGTGACTCCTGCTAGCTATAATTTTGGCTTAGCCCCTAGCTAAGTGTTTCTACGTGACCTTTTGCTTTCTTTAACTTACCTCCAAAGGACTCCTCAGAAATTCATTATGTAGAGAAATTATTTATTTACTACTGAATACTTTAAACCAATCTTTTAATGGTACAAAATTACTCCAATCATTGAAGGAAAACATACCAAATAATTACATAAAAACAAACAGCCAAAGCTTTCAACAAATACAAGTGCATAAAAGTTGTTAAGTTTTATAAATATACCGAAACCAAAAAAAATGAGCTTAGGAAAGCTGAGGCTATTACTATAAACAACTTATTCTTCCTTTGAAACTGTTCATAAGTAATTACTATCATACAAAAGACAGAACCCTACTATTTGGGGCTACAGAAATTAAACCTCCCTTCCCCCAATAACAATATTTGAGACTCATGGAACAGGTGGGGATAACATATAGCAAGATGATACTGTGAATGATGTTAGAGTAGTTTTCTAAGGAACCCATAGAGAAACTGAACTTGAATGGTGATATTTATAGCAAATGAGCTTTGTGTCTTTGTATAAAATTTTAAAAGATGAATTCTGATTTCTGCAGAGAGAAAAACCACTTGGCCTTTTAAATTAACCTTTGTTTTATGACAAAAAAGTAATCAAAAGAATATTACGTGTGGAATATATAAGACTTTAACCTGGCCTTAAAAGCAAAACCTCAATTCTAAAGGAGGATAGTAAAAACAAAATGTAATGTTAATTAGTTTCTTCTTAACAATGAAAAGAAATCATTTAAAAGACCACAATCAGTATTTCTGAAGGCATGTATAGAAAAGGAGTTATTCAGTTTTGAGCCTAAATTTGTACACTTCATAATCCAATACTATTCATTTTATAATGGAAGATTAGATTTTTGGCATGGAGCTCAGACTTTTGCTATTACCACCTGTCCCAGAATTGAGAAGAGGTTATGAATGTGATATGTAGTCAAATGAAGAGCAAAAGTGATTTCACAAAAAGATGGTAATCTTGTCATGAAGCAATCTCCAGAAAAATGGAAAAAGGCCAACAGCCTAAGCCAAAAGAAGGGAACCAACCTATGTATTACTATATCATTTAAGAACCACAAATTAATATTTACACAATCCTAAATGAAAAATAACTTTCACTAGAATACACTTTAAATAGTCAAGAAAATTGATACTACTAGCAGATACTATACAACAACAATTAGAGGAAGCCAGTCCTGTGGAAAAGATTGACCCATTTTAATAATTGTGGGTTCATTGTTCTCCCTTTTGGAAGTAATATTCCTGAAATGGAAAAAAATGAGTTTGATAGTTTTTAGCACTGTCTCTATGTTGGGAAATGCAATTTTTCCATACTAGAAACAAGATGTCAGGCAGAAGCTAGAATATATGGAGACGGCAGAAGACAATATTCTGTGATGATTTTCCTTCTCATGTCCAATAGGTTGCTCATCTTAGCTCAGAAATTCCACCACAGTTTAATGACATTTTTTCCTAGGTATCCAATTGCCTTAGAATAAAGCAGTACACCATTCTCTTGGTAGTGAATCTAAGAAAGAGAGGCTAATAAAGAGGTGAACATATGACCCCTGACTATAGTAGTTTAAATATAAAAATAATATGACTAGCAAGATCTCTGTCAAGTTTGCTTCCAATACACCAAAGAGAGCGAAAGTTGAACAGCAAGTGGTAGGAAAAAATTTCATCATTACAGTTGTTCTAGTGGTGGTTCTAGTGATGAAGATGAGGGCCTTGGAGGAGATCTTGGTAAATGCACTTGACTGCTGTCTTCAGGTAATTGTTATCCAGTGGCACATTAGACAAAATGGCAGCAATTTTATCTTGGCTGGGAAATACAAAAAGAGAAATCATTTTTTCTGGAAACTCACATTCTCAATTCAAGGGATTCATTTTTAAGGGAGCATTAGAAGTCATAAATGGGAAGTCAGTTGGGTAAAAATGAAGTGTCTAACCACTAGAAGAATTATTGGCACTTTCTGGCAGGGATATATTTTGGGGTCTGTCACCTCTTAATTCATTAGGGCTAAGCTTAAAGAATGGATAAGATTCACTTCATATCAGAGTCCGAGCTGGCTCTTCATCAGATAGCTGAGAGGCTGGGCTAATACAATAAGTACATGCTTCTCAGATTCTGCAGCATGTGCCAACAGTTCAGTTTCTAGAGCTGAGAGTGTTGGCTCTAGATTTTATGGGAATCTGACCTCACGGATGTGTAGAATTCTTCCAAATACACACCAGGCTCCCCACCCGAGATATTACAGTGAGAAAAAGTTCAGACTCTACCAGTCTAGCTCAGCTTCATGGAGGACACTAGAATGGGGTGTTCAAAAAGAGTGAAAGGGATGCAAGAGAGAATTTGGAGTGGTTGGGAAATATAAAACTATACCTTCATCTAGCAGGCAAAAATATATAAAATATGAAATCTAAGCCCTGGAGTCAAAAAGAGCCCAGCAGCTCCTACCTAAAAAATGAGTCATTGGAGGCATCATCACATGTAACCACAGTGTAGATAATAACAGGTCTTAAAAGATGCAACACCTCAAAATGAAATTAGAGGTGGGCAAAGAAGCCATTTGCCGTGAGGCAATGTGCCAAGATAAGCTCCCAGTTCACTTCCACATTGCCTCAGTGGATCAATTTCAGGGTTTTCCAAGTGAAATACTGGGAATTTAGCAGCAGAGCCCTATCATATTTCCCCCTTTTGTTTTACTCACTCAGTGTTCCCAATGAGGTTCTGAATGGTGAAAGATAATGGGACAGATGGATAATGGGCTGAAAGAGTCAGTGTCAATTCAAACTTTGCAAAAGCAGCAGAGCTGGAGAATAAGAGCTTCACTCTGTAAAAGACAAGACCCACACAGATCCCATCACATTAGCTATTCTGGTCTAATCTTAAAGATCTGAGAAATCATGAATATTTCTTTATTTTTTACAATTATTATAAATTTTCAGTAGTAATCTTTGCTCTCAATAAGGAGTTTTCAGAAATTGTTTCCATAGAAGGCCCTAATCTCGACTGAACGAGGAAAAGTGAAATTAGAAGAGGACAAGATTTAGTGGGGACATTATCACTGTCAAGTAACTGAAAGGTTGTCCTGTAGAAAATAGATTTGTAAGTGTTTTGCTTATATTTAAAAGGTAGAACTAGTAATAGTGAAAGCATGAGAGGCAGAATTTTGCTTAAAAAAAAAAAGGAAATTACAGTTACTAGCAGTTAATTAGAACTCTTCACAAGTGAAGGAAATGGTGAGCTCTTCATCCCTGGAGGCTTTCTAGGAGAGGCTGTTACAAAAGGAATTCCTGCTCAAGTAAGGTTTGAAATAAGATACCTCTGATTTCTCTCCTAACTCAGAGATTCTGTGAATCCAACAAAAGACAAAATCAGTCACTAATTTTGTAATATTTTTATAGTAGTGCCTTAGATTTTTATATTGCCTTTTCCCCTGATTAGCTTTTTATATTCATGTTTTATTGTGTAATATTTGTCCTTATATCATTCTGGTAAGATAGCCTGGTATGACAATGTGAGAACCAAGACCCAGAAATGATTCCCCTCTTCAATCCACACAGCCACCAAATAGATCTCCCGAAAACACAGATCTGGTCATGCTACCCTCCTACCCAGAAATCTTCAGTGGTTCCCTATTGCCTCTAAGGCAAAATACAAAATCCTCAGTCTGGCATACAAAGCCCTCCACAATATGGCTCCCACCCACCTGTCCATTATAATTTCATATTATTCATCATTCATGCATATTCTGCTCCAGTCAGACTGGCTTCCTAGCTGCTTATGTACACAAAACGACATCTCCCATTTCCATGCTTTTACATGATTCCCTCATTGCCTAGAACATATTCCCTTTTAAAATCCCAGCTTCTTTTAAAGCACAACTCCTGTATCCAGCCTTCCCTGATCCCCCCAGCTGTTAAGTGTTCTCTCCCTCTTGAAATGATTTTGTACAACTTTGTACAGATTTCTATTTACTTATCTGTGTATATAATGTATCCTCCCAAAAGAGGTAACTTTCTCAAAGGCAGAGACTATCTTTTTTTGGTGTCTGCATCCCCAGTATCTTGCAAAGAGTAGATACTTAATGAATGCTGGCTAAACTAAATTAGGTTAATGTTGGCTTCCGGTCATACCACTGTAGAACGATGACTATGCTCCTGGAACTACCACTCAGGTCCAGGGCTCCATTCATTCCTTCTCCCGGCCTAAGCCCTAGTTAGAGGTCTTACCCAGAGTGCCATAGTTAGGATTAAGCAATATTTGCCAGTGGCATTTAACAGGCCTAAAAAACAACATGAGAGAAGAGGAAAGGGAGAAGAAATAGGGCATGGAAAAATGGAAAAGAAAAGGAGGAAAGAGAGAATAAAGGGGAAGAGAAAGAAAATAGTGGATAGAAACAGTAGTGCCTCATGCTAAAGATGTCAAAAACTGCCTGTTGAGACATATAGTACAAAGATACAGTGAAGCACTTGGCTATGCTTATCTCCATTTCATTAGTAAAATGAACTGGTAGTTGTACAATGTTTTGTTCTCTGAAGGAACTTGAAAGAACAGAAGGCAGAACATCTGCAACAGGGTTACTATTGTGACTATTCTTTTAACAACAGCAAAACATGCTCTAAAGTCACTCCAACGGAATGACTTCATCTAGTTTGGAAGGAGATGGTATTCTCAGAGAAGACTGCTTTCAAGAAATTACTTAGTCACTGTTAAGTTAGCTACAAACGAAATAGAAACATAAAACTAAGGTGAAAAAAGATTTACGTCACTTTCTTCATTTTTTGTTTACTGTGATGCAGTATACATACAACCTGAGAGCTAAGTGTACTGTGATGGACAGAGAAATAGTGCAAGCATATTCCATGCTCCCAGTGACACTGGCCTCCTTGCTGTTCCTCCCACATGACACTCCACTTCCCAATTCTTTAAATGTCCACTAGTGATCCCCTCTGCCTAGAATGTTCTGCCCATCTTCACCTCCTGGCTTCCTTCAAGTTTCAGCTCAAATCCCACCTTCTTCAAGGGGCCCTACTGGTTCCCCTGAATGCTACAGCTTTCCCTCTGTAATCATCGCCAGTATACTTGTGTACAGCTTCTATGTATAGAGTTGTTTACATGTTGTCTCCCCGAATTAGGATGTGAGCTCCCCAAGCGATGGGACTGTTTTTGCCTTCTTTGTATTCCTAACACTTAAACATAGTAAGCACATAATAAATGCTTGTTGATTTTACTTGTTCATAGCAGCTGTGGTACCCTAGTCAAAATGGATCTCTACACTCTCTTGCTTGTTGACCTCATCTTCTTCCACAGCCTCGTCATCTTTATAAAGATGATGCCAAAATCTCTCTACATAGCTCTAGTCTCTCCTGAGTGTCAGTCCTGCTTCAATCAATTGCCTACTGACTATTTAAAATGGGATGTCCCATAGGCATCCCAAACTCAATCTATTCAAACAGAACTCATTATCTTTTCCCCAAAACCTACTCTTCCCTTTGGAATCGGCACAGAGTAGGCACTGAATATTTACTGAATAGAATCTCTAGTTTCCTTCAAGAGTCAGTTCAAATGCCAGTTGGCCTTATATCTATCTTGTATATACCTACACATTATTTCCCCTGATATATAAGCTCCTTTACAACAGGGACTATTTCTTTTCTTTGTACTCGCATAGCCTAGCCCTGTGACTGGAACATAGTAGGCACCAAATAAATGTTTGCTGATTGACTAGGGTTCCCTGGGGCTGTGACTGGCAAATTAAACAACTGCATTTGTGATTCAAAATAGTACCAAAGGAAATAGAGGTAGTGCCCTGGGGTGGTGATAAAATGGTAGAGAATCAGGAGGCTTCTTAAAGCATAGTAATTTAATTATTTTAGGCTTATGCAGTATTACTCACAACAGTATGCCCAGTGGCATTGCCTTATAAGAGCTAAATGTATAAGCATACTTTGGATGCACAATCAACATTAAAATCAATAATAATAACAACTATAGTAGGTTTCTTTAATAACTACTTACTCAGTATTATTCACATCTATGTTCATGAGATTGTAGTTTGGTCCCCATCTATTTAGAAATTCAATCTCTTCTCCCAGAAGTCTGCAGTGACTTACTACCAATGAAATCTCTTGTAGCATCTGGAGAAACAGGAAAATAAATGAGACTGTAAATAATTTTTTGCCCTTAGTGACTTTTCTCCATGGAGTTCAAAGTCCCTGAACAAGATGGACTACTATTTCAGAAGTTCCAATTCTGTATCCAGTTTCAGGTCAGCCTTTAGGGGCAGATGACACTACTTATTTTTCCTGGGATTTTGCAATTAGACTTTACCTTAGGCACATGATGCTGTGTTATGCATTTATTCTTCCATGATCCCTGATCCTCAATGAACTGAAAAATGAGTCTGTGCACTAACAGTGATGATGGGGGAGCTTTATTTTCTGAAAAAATAAATAGAGTTATTTTTCACGTTTCATATAAATTTGTTCTTTATAGATGACTAGATAGCAATCTCAAAAAGCTCTGTGAAAATGAGTGCCCCTTCATTCTTATTTTTAGTCATGTGAAAGAAACACTTGATGTGGATAATGTAGGACATACTTATGTAAGATTTAACGGTAAAAATCTCAATACCAATCATTCCTTGGGACTAACCATAAGAAAGTTATTTTATTTAAAGTTCTAAGACCCACAATGATGATCTCTATACAGTGATTCAAACACAGAAATTTCAAATTGTATTAACTTTGCAACAGCCCTTGAGGCACAGACCTCAAGGAGTAATGTATACTTGAAAGTTTCTAACTTTAGAAACAAATCTTTAAAGTCATACCATGCAGCAGAGTTTCAAAGTTTACATCAATAATCTTTCTGCAAGTTTTGCTCAGGAAAGGAAGACCATCTAGGAAAAGTCAGAAGAAAATGTCAATTCCTAACTCTTTTACTACCTTTAAATCACTTGTGCAACATAATCTCAACTCTATAAAATAAGTAGCTTTACATAGAGAAGTTTGATTAGTGCCAAAGCTTTTAAAACTTTGATGGACCTGCGGGTTCCCTATATCAGCGAAATCACAGGTTTAGTCCTTACCAAAACAACTACCAGATTAAACAATATGATTTCAACTTTTACTTTTTCTCCAGATTTTTGGTTGAGTATGTTTACTGATGAGATAAAAAAAAAACATTGAGGGAAATCTAACATATGCCATATGCTTCTTAGAATATATTGAAAATAATCTAACCTTTTCTTAATTGTTCAAGGGCATTATTATTAATATTTAATTACTGAGACATAATAAAGATTTAACTGTAAATGGTATAGGAACACAGAGGCAAACGGGTGCTGACTACATAAGTGTTAATGGCTCTTACCTTATTGATAAAGATCCATATACTATCTTATTCTTATTTTTTAATCAGTGTCTTTTTGGGGAACACCTTTTATTTTTACATCACATGCATTCCTGCATATATCCCTTTTCCTATCCAGCTAGGTATCTTATTGAAAAAAGAATGAGAAAAAAAGTAATTCAGAAGAAAAACACCCAAAATGTTGACCATGACTAACAGCATATACAATATTCTACACTTATATTTCTTCACCTGTGCAATGAAGGAAGGTGGGTGCAATTTTTCAGCTTTTCTCTGGGACCAAGCTTGGTATTTTAATCAAATAGCATGCTGTTTCAATTTGCTATTTTGTTATGTTTCAATTTATTATTATTATTATTCAATTTATTATTATTACATGGTTGCAGTCACTGTTTCTGGTTCTGCTTACTTCACTCTGCATCAGTTCATACAAAATTTTCCAAGATTCTCTGAATTCTTTATACTCATTATTTCTTATGGTACAATATTATTCTATTATATTCATGTACCATACTTTGTTTAGCTATCCCCCTACCCATTGGCATCTATTTAATTTTCAATTCTTTGTTATCAATAAAAAGTGCCAGTTTACTTTTAGGTATAGCAAAAGATATTCATTACCTCCTGAGAATGTAAGATAGCTGCCTTCTTGCAAAATTATTCAGCAATGGCAGAGGTTTTCTCTGAAGTGTTTTTTGTGCCCTCTAGAAAATCATCTTAATTTTAGCTTTCTGTTAACTTGTCAGCACCATTCAAAACATTATTAATTACTTTTACACAGTGGACTATAAGTATCTGTCATCTACATCTAATGTATGTTAAGTTTGCTGGTGGGAAGTAAAGACCGGAAATGCTTCACTATTTAAGAAAATTCTGCTAAGGTGGTTGACAAGTGCATATAATGCTCCAAAAGGTCTGCAAATCTTTCATCATCTACATCATTATCAACAGATAATGCTTCTTAAGACATTATATAAGCCAAAATCTTCTACTAGATTATTATGAGATTATGAATGACTGACATTTTATAGAATTTTTTGCTTTGCAAAGTAATTTATAATACACACACACACACACACACACATTGTCTCGTTTAAGCCTAATAGCCTAATAACCCTGTGACTTGGATATTTTTCAATTTTGCAGAAGAGGAAATTGAGGTTCTGCGCACAGACACTGTGAGTGCCAGAGAAGGATTCTAACAGAAATTCCTGCCTCTATGTTCAGAATTCTATACACACTGCCTCTTAAAAGTCTCAAAATACATGCAAGGTGAATCAATGTTCTCAAGAAATCTCAGCACACTACAATGAACAAAGCACAAATACAAGTGGTATGTCTTGGGCAAGTCATGTAACTTCTCTGAGCCTTAGTCTCCTCATCTGTAAAATGAAGGAATTGAGATAGAGAATTTCACTAAAATTTTGTAAAATTCTTTTACAAAACATTTCACATCTGAATAACATCCTGGTTTTTCATCCTGGTTGAACCAGTGATGCAATGTCAGGACCAAGCCACAAGATGGGAAAATTATTCCTTAACACCAACCTGGTTTCCTTAGGTGAGACTTAAAATCGCCTAGTTAATTTTTTCTGAAAATATTAAAAGATGATAGAATCGGAATTTTTCTGCTCTCTAAATCCCCTGCCCTGGTGGTAGAACTGTGAAGTGATTCAGTCATTTTGGAAAGCAATTGGAAACTATACAGAAAAAGTCACTAAATTATGCATATGCTTGGATTCAGTATATAATTACTGAACACACAGACCAAAGAGATGAAAGAAAGAAAGGAACCAAATGCACAAAAAATTTATAATAGCACTTTTTGTCTTAGCAAAGAAATGGAAACAAAGTGATGCCCACCAAAGTGACTGAACAAATTGTGATGTATTAATTTAATGGTATATTATGAACTATAAGAAGGTCTAAGGGTTGGCTCTAGAAAAAACCTTGAAGGTCTTATATTGAAACAGAGTGAAATAAATGGAACCAGGAGAACAATTTATACAATGACTACAACGTTGTAAAGGAAAAAACTGAAAGACTTAAGAGCTGCAATGACCAAATATAACTACAGAAAACTGGTGATGATAAAAGTTTTTTTTACCTCAGCAGCATGAGGAGGGGCTAAAGGTGCAGAAGGATACATACTTTTTTTTTTTTTTGGTGACGGCATTTGTGCCCAGGGTCACACAGCTAATGAGTGTTATGTGTCTGAGGCCGGATTTGAACTCAGGTCCTCCTGAATTCAGGGCCAGTGCTCTATCCATTGCACCACCTAGCTGCTTCCTTTTCTGTTCTTTTTACAAGAAAATATTCAAATTTATTGATGTTTATCAAGTTCATAGCAATAGAAAAAGCTTTAAAAAAAGATGATAGAATCAAACAATTTTTTTGTCCACCCATGCATTAGTTTCTACTCTGTAATCAACAGGTAAACACCTGTGAAAGCTCTAGAATGACATTTTCAATCAACAAATGTTTTATTTTATGTGAGCCTGCAGCATCAGCACATGTTGCTACCATATTGCTTTTTATTCCTTTCCATATTTAAAATTAAGATTTGAATCCTGAATGAATTCAATCATGGGGTTTTATGATGTATTCCTCCTCACACATAAATGGTTGTAAAATAAAATAAGATTGCTTTTGCTACTTACCCACAGGCTCTCCAAAGGTGATGGTGAGCTCTATTGAGTCATAAAGGAAAGTGAATATAGCCTGGCTATCACTCCATTCAATAATCTCCCACTCTGAGCAGCTAGAGTTTACAAAAAAAGAGAAAGAAAAAAAGTCAAACCAACAGTTTCAGAAATAATTTTTCTTTAAATGAACCTGAAATTTCATTGGTAGAGGGAACTCCCAGTGAGGAAACTTCCTCTAGCAATGCAGTTCAGCACATGCTCTGTGACTTATAGCCTAAGAAAGGGCTTCCTGGGAGCACTGAGAGAGAAGGTAAGTGATTTGCCCAGGTTCCCAGGTTCAGAGGTGGGCGGTAAGCATAGGAGACCTATGATTCTGAGGTGGCTATTTACTGTTATGCTGCCTCTCTTTTCTTTGAGATGAGAATAACCTAATCACATCTAATCCCACAAAAAAAGTATCAGGTGTACTCTTTCCTCTGGGCAAGTGACACCAGATATTTAAAATCAAGTACTGTGATGCTACAGCCTTAGGCTGTTGAAAGAAAAAAGAGCAAAAGTTCCCAGTGGCTCCCTATTCTTTCTTTCAAAAATTTTAAAATTCATTTTGAACTCCAATACAAAAAGACAAAAAACAAAACAAAACCCCACAACATTTCTATGTACATAGCACAACATGAAAGGAGGATTCAGTATGAAACCATGAATCTCCATTCCACAATTTACTTTAAAAAACAAAGCCAAAACGTCATAACACATACTACACATTGTTTTCAAAGCTACCCCGTTTTTCTGTGCTTCTTTCTGAGTTTTCTTTTGTTTCCTGCTGTGTACTTCATTTTTTTTTCCTTCCCTCAGATCCTGCACTAGAGAAGGCCACCATTAAGACACATATGTGTGTGTGCATATGTAAAGTCATACTATAAATATTTCTATTTATCAGTTCTCTGGATATGGATAGAATCTTCCTTCATAGGTCCTTTGTAATTGATTTGAGTATTTATAATACTCATAATAACTTAATTGTTTATATTTATTCTTCAAATAATATTGCTGTTATTGTATATACAATGTTCTCTTGGTTCTGCTCATTTCACTCTTTGCAAGTCTTTCCATGTTTTTCTAAAGCTCCCTATTATTTCTAGAATTAAATACAAATTTCCTCATCCCGGCATGTAAAGCTCCCCTAGTCGGCATCCCCGCCACCTTTCCAGGCTTATTTGCCATGACTCTGATGCATTCTATATTCCAGGCAAACCAGACAAGGTTCTCCAAATTCAGCAGTGAGGTCTCCACACCCTATGCCTCTGCTCAGAACATTCCTCCCACTGCCTCTCACAATCTTTATCTTTCCATAAGGTTCAGTTAAGGTGGCTCCACATATCCTTCTGTTGTTAAGTGCTTGCTCCCACTCAAATTATCTTGGATTTAATTAGGTATTTAATTAGGTATTTACATGCATCCCCACTATGGAATGCAAGTTCCTCAAAGGAAGGGACTATATAATTTTTTGTCTGTGTATCCTTAGTACCTACCACAATGCCATGAATGGATGAATGAAAAGCCTTTATCAAGTGCTTACTATCTATTCCACAGCAGGGATACCACTATAAATGCAAAGAAAGTCCCTGCCTTAAAGGAATTCACAGAGAAGTGGTGGCCAGGGAAGGGGCACTTCCATCTGGAAAGTTATAGGGAAGGTGAATGGGGCCAGGGGAAATAGTCTCACACATCCCATCTGGAAATAAGTGCAGAGTTGATTTGATCATGGCTCATGGTTCCAGAAAACAGAAGAGAGAATGTGGAAGAAGGGGCAGTGAAGCAAGAGAAACACTTAATAAGTGCTTGTTGAATTTAATTGAAATAATGAGATGTTTTTCCATACTTGAATTTTTCCAGGCATTCCTTAGTTCTATTTGCTTCTCTTTGTAGACTGTTTATTTGGGCAAGTGCCTGCTGCCTCTGTATCTCTAGTTCTGATATATTCCTGCAGAAAAAAATCAGATATTCAGGGAAAGATAAATCCTTTACCATAACTCCAGAATCTATCAATAGATGTGGGCTATGGGACAAGAAGAAAAATACTTAATCTTCACAATTCTCCTCCTCATGAAGTTAAAAAGTCTGGTGAATGTCTTTGTTGCTACCCTTGAATCTTTAAAGATTGTTTTGACAGAGAGGTTTTGGTCTGTTTTAGGACAGGTCCAGAATAATACTCTATATAAGGCCAGTTTCAAAAACTGTCATCAAGTGAATGAAGTGATCCTCTGGAATGATTTTAGAATAAAACAGAAGCTCTGAACCAGGAAGAGTTAATAAGACCCAAATTGGTCTGGAACTAAACCAGTTTCTGGAGGCTGGGTGCCATTTGTTTGATGGAGTTTGGCACTATACTGGCAAACACAAAAATTGAAGGCTTACCTCTTGAGTTCCTCTTCTTCAGCTTGTAACTGTTCTAATTCTGACAGAGAGAGAGAGAGACAGAATATTATATTCCTAATGAACACATTTTCTATTAACACCTCTTAGGAAATAGAGAATTGTCCAGAGATTTTCTACCACATACACACAAGAAAATCATTTTATTGAAAATCCCAGGTGACTACCTATGTTCAACTAGGGTGTACACTAATCTACATCTACTTATCTTAGAAAAGTACTGTAATAAAAGTCTTTTTTAAGCTGTAACGTGCTACAGAAAATGAGTCACTTTAATCATAAAGTGATTATTATTATATAAAATTTGCACTGAGAAAACTTTTCTCAGTTAAAATATTGTCCTATTAATTGGCATGGTTACCTTTCTCTGTAGCTAACATTTCAGAATCCCACTCTGCCATAGGGATATCTTCTTCATTCCTGTCCAGATTCTTAATTTCTAAAGGAGAAAACATGCATTACAATAACTCCATCAATAAGCATTTACTCTAACATTTAATGTAAGATAAGCATTTACATAACAACCACAGGTATTGAGAATCAATGTCTTAAGACAGAACTAGCAGAAGAATGGTGTCTCTGTTACACACAAAGCACATAAGAACTATCTTTCCTCTAGAATCAAGACAGGATAATGATGCTAATGAAGAATAATATTAGAAATATTATGTTATTTTAAGCTGTATAATAAGCAGTAAAATAAGATTTTCCCAAGGGCCTATTGAGGTGTCTAAGACATAGCCAGCATTTTTTTTTTTTGCTAATGGTGTTCTGGACAATATCAATAAGCAGTAAATTTAATATATTAAAACTAAACTCCTCTGTAACCAACTTCACTAGAGCAGAGTAGCTGTTTCTCTGTTCCTGGTGAATCTGTCCTATGCTTTCATCAGTAGAGAGTGGCCTCTCTGGCCAAGTAGAAAATGGTGCACGGCACAGCTAAGATGGTGGAGTAAAGGCAGGGACTCAGGTGAGCTCTCCACCAAACCCCTCCAAATGCCTTTAAATAATTACTCTAAACAAATTCTAAAGCAGTAGAACCCACAAAAAGATGAAGTGAAACAATTTTACAGCCCAAGACAATTTAGAAGGTTGGCAGGATAGTTATGTTGCACCAGGGTAAGAGAGGACTGCAATCCAAGTAGGCCATGCCAGTGCAGACTGGGCTCCAGCAAACCAGGAATAGGCCTTGGGGCAACTGAATCAGTGAAACCAGTAGTGGTTTCCAGACCTCTCAGCCTACAGACAAAAAGGGGAAGGGACAATAGGTCAGGACATTTACAGGGGTCACTTTATTCGCACCAGGGGCCAAACTCTGTTGCATTGCTTATACTTGGATCTGGTTCACAGTCCTGGGTCTTAGTCCCAGTGTAAGGATGAGCACTAGCATAGCAGAACTTGCGGCTGAAGGCAGCAGGGACTCTGGTCACCGTACCAGGATTAAAAAGAGTGCTTGTGCCTCTGCCTAGATCATTGGAAGAGCCAAAACCTTATAGGTCCCTATAATTACCTCTAAAAACAGCTGCATAAAAAACCTGAAGATTGGGACAGTGCCCTCTCGACTTGGGAAGCAGAGCCCCACTTTTTAAGATAAGAGTTAAAAGTCAAGAAATAAGCTGGAAAATGACTAAACAACAGAAAAAAATTCTGACCATAGAAAGTTACTATGGTGACAAAGAAGCTCAAAACACAATTAGAAGGGGCAGCTAGGGGGTGCAGTGGATATAGCCCCAGCCTTGGAATCAGGAGGACCTGAGTTCAAATCCGGCCTCAGATACTTGACACTTACTAGCTGTGTGACCTTGAACAAGTCACTAAACCCTCATTGCCTCACCAAAAAACAAAAACCAAACCAAACTAAACCAAAACACAATTAGAAGACAAGAAAGTCAAAATTCCTACATCCAAAGCCTCAAAGAAAAATGTGAATTGGTCTCAGGCCATGGAAGAGCTCAAAAAGGATTTTAAAAATCAAGTAAGAGGAAGAGGAAAAATTGGGAAGAGAAATGAAAGTGATGCAAGAAAATAATTTAAAAAGAGTCAACAGCTTGTAAAGGAGTAAAGGAGGCACAAAAAAATACCAAAGAATATAACACCTTAAAAAACAGAATAGGCCAAATGGCAAAAGAGACACAAAAACTCAATGAATGCCTTGAAAAACAGAATTGGCCAAATGGAAAAGGAGGTACAAAAGTTCACTGAAGAAAATAATTCCTTAAAAATCAGAATTGGAACAAGTGGAAGGCAATGACTTTGAGACATAGAGAAACAATCAAAATCAAAAGAATGAAAAAATAGGAGAAAACGTGACATATCTCATTGGAAAAACAACTGACCTGGAAAATAGATCCAGGAGAGATACTTTAAGAATTACTGGACTACCTGAAAGTCATGATCAAAAAAAGAACCTAGATATCATCTTTCAAGAAATTAACAAGGAAAACTGTCCTGATATTCTAGAACCACAGGGTAAAATAAAAACTGAAAGAATCCACCCATCACCTCCTAAAAGAGATCCCAAAATGAAAACTCCCAGGAATATTATAGCGAAGTTCCAGACCTCCCAGATCAAGGAGAAAATACTGCAAGAAGCCAAAAAGAAACAATTCAAGTATGGTAGAACCACAATCAGGATAGCACAAGATTTAGCAGCTTCTACATTAAAGGATTGGAGGGCTTGGAATATGATATTCTGGAGAGCAAAAGAACTAGGATTATGACCAAGAATTACCTACCTAGCAAAACTGAATATAATCCTTCAGGGGGAAAAATTGGCATTCAATGAAATAGAGGACTTTCAAGTATTCCTGACGAGAAGACCAGAGCTGAATAGCAAGCCTGACTTTCAAATACAAGATGCAAAAGAAGCATATAAAGGTAAACAGGAAAACATGAGGGATTCGATAAGATTAAATCATTTATATTCCTACATGGGAAAATATTTATAACTCCTAAAAACTTTCTCACTATTAGGGCAGAAGGAGTATACATAGTATGCATAGACAGAAAGCAGAGGTGTGAGTTGAATGCGATGGTATGATTATCTAAAAAAATAAAATTAAGGGATGAGAAAGAAGAATGCACTGGGAAAAGAGGAAAGGGAGAGGCAGAATGGGATAAGTTATCTGACACTTTAAAAGAGGCCTGAAAGAGATTTTATAGTCCGGGGGAAAATGGGGGAATTGAAGGTGAGCACATAAACCTTATTCTAATTGGAACTGGGTCAAAGAGGGAATAATATACACATTCAGTTAGGTGTAGAAATCTATCTTACCATACAGGAAATTAGGAAGGGAAGGGGATAAGAGAAGGAGGGAGGGGGAGCTGATAGAAGGGAGAGCAGTTTTGGGGAGGTAAAATTCAGAAACAAAACACTTTTGCAAATGGAAAGGATAAAAGGAGAGAGAGTAGGATAAACAGGGAGAAAATAGGATAGAGGGAAATACATAATTGGTAGTCATTATTGTGAAAAAAATTTTCATAGTGAGTTTCTTTGATAAAGACTTTATTTTTCAAACATATAGAAAACTATGTCAAATTTATAGAAATAAGAGCTATTCCTCAATTGATAAATGGTCAAAGGATATGAACAGGCAGTTTTCAAAGTAATGAAAGTTATTTATAGTCATATGAAAAAATGCTCTACATCACTATTGATAAGAGAAATGCAAATTGAAAGAACTCTGAACTACTACCTCACACCTGTCAGATTGGCTAATATAACAGAAAAGGAAAATGACAAATGTTAGGGGGGATGTGGGAAAATTAAAACAGTAATATACTTTTGGTGAAATTACATAGTGATTCAAGCATTCTGGAAAGCAATTTGGAACTATGCCCAAAGGGCTATAAAACCATGCATACCCTTTGACCAAGCAATACCACTTATAGGTCTATATCCCAAAGAGATAAAAAAACGAAAAGTAAAAGGGCCTATATGTATAAAAATATTTATAGCAGCTCTTTTGGTGGAGGCAAAGAATTGGAAAATGAGGGGACGTCCATTAATTGGGGAATGGCTGAACAAGTTTTGTATATGATTGTGATGGAATACTATTGTACTTTAAGAAATGATGAAGGGGCAGCTAGGTGGCCCAGTAGATAGAGCACTGGCCCTAGAGTCAGGAAGACCTGAGTTAAATCCAGCCTCAGATACTTGATACTTGCTAGCTGTATGACCCTGGGCAAGTCACTTAACCCCAATTGCTTCAAACCCTCCCCCTTCCCCCCCAAAAAAGAAGTGATGAGCAGGATGCTCTTAGAAAAACCTGGAAAGACTTAGATGAACGGTTGCAAAATGAAACGAGCAGAAGCAGGAGAACACTGTATACAGTAACAGCAATACTGTATGATGATCTACTACAAATAACTTAGCTATTCTCAGCAATACAATGATCAAAGACAATTCTGTAGTACTTATGATGAAAGGTGCCGTCTATCTCCAGAGAAAGAACTGATAGAGCCTGAACGCAGATCAAGGACATTTTTTCTTCACTTTATTTTTCTTGGAGTTTTTTGTCTATGTTTTCTTTCACAAAATAACTTACATGGAAATGTGTTTTGCATGACTATACATGTATAACTATGTCAAATTGCTTGCCTTCTCAGTGGGGGGAGGGGGAGGAAAAGGAGGGAGAGAACTCAAAATTTTAAAAAAAATTTAAATTATTTTTACATATAATTGGGAAAAACGATTAAATAAGCTTAAAAAAAAAGAAAATGGTGCTCAGCACTTTGGGCGTTGAGGTGGAAAATGGTAGGGAGAAGGGACACTGGAGGAGGAAGAGGTTGACATGATGAGGAGAGATTCAGTTGAGGTGGAGTGGGGAGTACGGAGAAGAGTTTTTAAGCCCTAAAGAATTTTTTCTAATGTCTCTTTCTTTACTATTTTGAACTTTTTTTTTGGGCTAGGCAATGGGGTTAAGTGACTTGCCCAGGGTCACACAGCTAGTAAGTGTTATATGTCTGAGGCCAGATTTGAACTCAGGTCCTCCTGACTCCAGGACTGGTGCTCTATCCACTGTGCCACCTAGCTGCCCCTATTTTAAACTTCATAGTCAGAATTTTGGGACATAAGAAATGTGTCTTCTGTTTAAATGTTTAAATGACATTGTTACTCTGAAATTATATACCATATTAATGTTTTACTAAGTTAATGTTTTCAAGAAACGAAATAAGGATATTAGATTGGGTATGCCTATATATCTAATGATAAATGTCATACTCGTATATCACTTTAAAAAAAATTTGGACTTGTGATTTCATTAGTATAGGGAACCCCCAGGGAGAAAAAAAAACCCGTAACTTTCTTACCAATGCAGATCAGCATTTTCTTTTCTTCTTTTTTTTTTTTTGGCTAGGCAATGGGGTTAAGTGACTTGCCCAGGGTCACACAGTTAGTAAGTGCTATGTATCTGAGGCTGCATTTGAACTCAGGGTCCTCCTGAATCCAGGGCCAGTGCTCTATCCACTGCTGCCCCAGCATTTTGTTTACAACTCATATAGTACTAGACTTGTCAAGTCTATTGAGAAGGTAAGTGACAGAGAATCACAGGGTCACAGAGCCAGTATGAGAGGCAGAACTTGAACCTAGGTCTTCCTGACTCCAAGGCCAATTCTATCCACTACACCATGTTGCCCATCATATACTTTATACTTAATAGTAGAATGAAATTTCTTAACCCTTAGCCTGATTTTGTGGAAAGAGCACTAGATGTGAAATGAGAAGACCTAAGTGTAAATGCTATCTCGATAGCTATTTAATAGCTATTTAACTTAATCTTTATGGACCTATTTCCTCATCTATAAAATAAGAATGTTAGAGTACACCTCTACAGGTTTTTCCAGCCCTCACTCCTGAGACCTACAACCATGTCGACTACTTGAGCAAACGTGATCTGCCTAAAGTTATAGGGCTATTTTCTTTCCTTTTGGGGTGGGGGTGGGTTGGAGAAGAGGATAGTTTTCATGGTAAGATTTGATTATTACTCCTTGAAGGCAGCAATTTCTTTATTTCTCCATTATTTCTTCTGTAAAGATAGGGTGTGGTCTGCACCACTGGAGGGATCACCTATATAAATAACATCACAGGTTTTGGAAGTATCAAAGTATTTCTTAACCCATCCCTTATTTTTCGTTCCTAAATCCTCTACAGCAGAGAAGGAGACTTCAAAAATCTGGAGAGGAAGGGGTTAAGTGGAGGGTGTTCTAAATGCCATGAGTATTCTTAGTCACAATTTGGAAAATAATGCCTCAGAAATACTATAAGAGGGAGAGTTTTCCAGTTGCTGATTTATCCTCTGTTAAGGCTTAGGAATGTATGGATAAGATAATTTCCTGAAGTTCAGGGCCTCTATTTTACATGTCTCTGTGTCCCCAGTAGTAAACATCTTGCACAAAGTAGCTACTCAAAAAATATCTGTGAATAACTGGTAGCTCAGAGCTCTGAGATTGTGGCTTTATGTACTTATTTTCTTTTCAGCAGGTCATGGGGTGTTGGTTATTTAGTAATTTACTCAGTGCTTAAAAAGGCTTAATCATCAGGCTGAGTCAAGTTCATTTTCTAAAAACAAAAAGGAATGCACAGTTTTCTAAAGCAATCTAATGGCCTGCATTGTTCTTGCTGGCTAGGTTATGAATCATCAGAATAGAAGGGCTTCAATTTGTTTCAATCCAGTATTTATGACGTGAAAAGAAAGTTTCTGAGGAGAGAAGATATGAGCTGCCTTAACTCCCTACTTCGGAAATGTGTCCAAAAATTTTTACCCAGGTCCAGAGCAGCAAGACAGGTATCCACCTCCTTGAGTACAGAATCCATCTTGTCCATCCTTATCTGAAGCTTCTCCTGTTCAACCTAAGCACAAAATAAATGCAAATAGATTAGCCCAAGTTAAAGTGAAAGCACATCTTAGAATGAAAAGAGAATCCTTCTTGTTCCAAACTTGGAAAGAATAATAGAACTAAGTAAGGTAAGAAAGATGATCTATTAGAATGTAAGCAGCTTGTAAACAGGGATTATTTTACTTTTTGTATCTGTACCCTTAGTGCCCATCACAATGCCTGGTACAAAGCAGGTGTACAGTAAATGCTTGTTGACTGACTGATCTGTGACCAATGGCATCCCGACATACATTAACCAGGATCTTGCCTTTGAAGAATCAGTTCCTGGGGCAGCTAGGTGGCGCAGTGGACAGAGCCCTGGTGCTGGATTCAGGAGGACCTGAGTTCAAATCTGGTCTCAGACCAGACACTTGACACTTAATAGCTGTGTGACCTGGTCAAGTCACTTAACCCCACTGCCTTGCAAAAAAAAAAAAAAAATAGAATCAGTTCCAAAGGATGGCCCTCACATTGAGAGGCCTGGATCTTGCTCCCTTGGAGCACAGAACAGGGATGAGGATATTTTCCATAATGTGCCAGATTTGCATATCTATTCTGGTTTATTCATGCGCCAGATTTCCTAGGGACTACTCCCTACCAGTATAACTTTCTCCACACTTCTCCAAACATTTTTGCCAATTTCATGATTACTACCATAAAAAAGTAATTCTGATTGCTCTATCTATGCCAAAATTACCTTTGCTGATTGTACCAGTTTCCTATATAGAACCACTTTCCCTTGGTGAGCAAAAACTTTAGTCTTCTTGGCAAAACGTGATTTCATTTTGTTCAGATGGGCTCCAAATGTCTTCAGCTGTAGGGAAGAATAAGGCATTGCATCAAAACAATCATTTGGATGGTGTAGGCTCAGCTGCTGTATGGTGGGTAGGTAACACAACCCAAAATTTCCTTTAGTCATCCAAGCCTAATTTTCATGGCCCCTTCTCTTTTGTAAATATAATTTCATTTATTTGTTTCAGCACAGAACTCAGGACTTTTGAGTTTCATTCTCAGGCTAAGATCCACATCAAACTACTGAATATAAAACTGTCTAGTAAGAATACCCTATTTAACAAAATAGTCAAGTTTTGAATGGTTTGCTTATTATTCAATCATTCAAACTGCAGCTGTGTCCTAAACTTTTCCTTATCTAAGTCTACTATGAGATATAAAAGGGGGAAAACTTGATTACAAGTAAACTTCACATCACATTTACAAAATTTTTTAGAAGATTTTTTTGAACTAAGTTTCAATTAAGGGCGAATTCAAAAAGAAAAATTTATCAGTCACATATCTGTGAATTACATATTTCATAACAAACACTGGGAATCAGTTTAGACATTTTCAACATTCAAAATAAAAGTACCTCTTCATCAGAGCAGCCCTTCATTACTTCCCACAGGCTCCTATTCACATCTACCAGTAGTTTATCCTGTTTCAAGGCATGGAGCTTTAATCTAAAGCATTGAAAGAGTTCATGAGAATAAGGTGACAGAAAAGCACAAAATGAGCTGTACACATTCTTTAAAACCACAGACGTCTAAATATGCTAGGAAGCAAAAGAAATAACTTCTTCCTTTGTCTTTAATCAATACTATCAACCAATTCTGAAATCTGTTCCACGCAATGAGTATAAAAACCACTCCTGGACAATGACCTTCCTTGGTTTAAACACTCCTTAGAACTTGAAAAATGACAGTAATGTAATAAATCTAAAAACTTCCTTTTAAAAAATAATTGATTTCATATCCCAACCTGGAAATGTAACTCTGAGATCTCTGGAATCTAGCCATTTCATAACTACACTTTCCCAAAGCTGGTGTGAATATCCTAATCAAAATGCATAACCAAGAAAGACCCTTTCCTCCATCTCCCATTGTCACTTGTTAAAAAACAGAACAGTGAGGTTAACTATCATCACAGAGATCCAGTCATTTGTCAATAAATAAAAATAAATTTTTTTGTCAGATGTAGCAGGGTACAGTACATGCTTATGCCACGGACAAAATCCAGAAATGATACTCTATTAAGATTTACCTATTCATTTTAGACAAATCCTAATGCTGTCACAGGCAAAATAACAAATTTAAGCAGATTATGGAAATATACCTGGACAAATCAATAAGTACCTACTCAGATTCAGGTAGGAATGAAAAAAAAATTAAGTGACTTAAATTTCTAGGTTTTAAAAATAATTATTGGAGGATATTTAGTGTTTTAGATGTGTCCAACTGCTAATTTGCCTATAGCATGTGTGCATATAAAGTCTTCAGTTGAAGGACTGAGATGTACTTCACTGTTCTGAAAGGAACACTATTTTTGCATGGAAACGAGGGCCAAAAGGTAGAGGTATGAATTTGACATCTGGTCCTATACATGGATTAAGAAGATCTTATATTCTAATTATTTATGCATTTATCACATTGCCCTACCAGAATTCCAGTCACAGTAGGACAGGGGTGGTGTTGTTTTTGTCTCTGTGTGCCTCAGACTTAGCAAATACCTATAAAAAGGTTGATGAGTGCCTTTCCTTTTGAGATTATCTCCAGTTTATCCTATAAATATTTTGTCTGTACAAAATTGTTTGCAAGTTGTCTCCCTCATTAGACTATGAATTCTTTGAAGGTGGGGATTAGTTTTGCCTCTCTTTGTTTGCCCAGCTACCTCGTAGACACTTAATAACTGTTTAGTGGCTGGTAGAATATCTTTACTTTCAGATGTTCTCTCACATTCAACTCTAATATGAAGTATAAGGTAATGATATGTCAATGTTATAAGTTATGTTTTCTTATACAAATCTAAAAGTGGAGGACCTACTCAAAAGTCATTTTGTACCATGCCACTAATTAAGAGATGGTGATTTAAAAAATTGTAATATCTCTTTTACTACACCCAAGAAAGCAAATGTGTTCTCACTCTTCAATCTTTTGATGGAGAGCCTGGCAATCTTCTTTATAAATCTGTATCTTGGGCCGGTGAATATATTGACTTAACATTAAGTCTTTTGGTGTAGATGGCACATTTGTAGCAAACTGAAAGAAAAAACAGAACAAAAAGGTCAATTCCACAGCACTTCAGAAATGCAAAATTATAGACAAATTCATGTTCAGGAACTAAGTTCCTGAATTTTTATTATGATGAATTAGTCTATGGAAACAACAAAAATAACAACAAAAACAACAACACCCTGATCCACTTTATTAACAAGTTACAAAAACTATCCAAAATGTAATAGCAGGGTGAGAGGAAGCATTAGGAAGAGTTTAGCTCTCTTCCCATGCTTTCTTCTTCTTCTTTTTTTTTAAGGTAATTGGTGTTAAGTGACTTGCCCAGGGTCACATAGCCAGTAAGTGTCAAGTGTCTGGTCTCAGGCCGCATTTGAACTCAGGTCCTCCTGACTTCAGGGCCGGTGCTCTATCCACTGCGCCACCTAGTCTTCCCATGCTTCTTTAACAAAGACCTAAAGAATGCAACAGACTAAATTCTGATTGAGAAAACCAAGGAAAGTCATAGTAATTTGTATAAGGAGACAGAGAAGTCTGTGGACATTGGGGAGTGTGCCTATGTGGGATAGGTGAGCATTCCAGCACCTAGGGACTGAAAGAGGACCAAGATAGGGCACCAGAAAGAGATCCTGAAGGATCCCTGAGCAAGCGCTGGGTACAAGTACAGGTGCCACCTGGCAGCTCTGTCACCTACCACTTGGTGCTGGCTTACAGATCTATAGGTAAAGAGGAGTGGTTGTGAACACTGGCCTTAGATATATATTGAGTACAGGATGGCTCTGATTCTAGGAGCAGAGGCCAGTACCACAGACCAAAGTGGAACTTGCAGTTCAGTTACTCTGAACCTGGGGGGCACACCAGCAGCTCAATAGTTGCTGAGTCTATTAGCAGGCTGCTGAACCTCCCAACTAGAAACAAGCTGAGACCCAAACTTGGGCCAAGAACTTAAAAAACTTAGACCAGAGGTCAGTGAACAGACCTCTCCACTGATCATACCACTTTGGGTGCACCGAAAGTTTACATGGAAGCTAATGATGCTAGGAATAATAAGAAGTAATAAAACAAAGTCAAAAGTCTTAAAAAAAAAAGGGGGGGAGTGTGAATTATCTCATAAAGACAATGGACTTGGAAAACAGAGGAAAGATAATATAAGAATCAGTAGACTATCTGAAAGTCATTTTTAAAAAGGGCCTAAATATTATATTTCAAGAAATCATAAAAGGAAACTGTTCAGGTATCTTAGAATCAGAAGGCAAAATGGAAACTGAAAGAATCCACCCGTCACCTCCTGAAGGAAATCCCAAAATGAAAACTTCCAAGAATATTATAACTAAAATCCAAAACTCTCAGGTTAAAGAAAATACTATAAAGCAAGCAGAAAGAAAGAATCAAAGTACAGAAGAGTCACAATTAGGATCACACAAGATTTAGCAGCTACTATCATAAGGAGGAAGAAAATTTGGAATATCATATTCTAAAAGGCAAAGAATCTAGGCTCACAATCAAGAATACTGTACCCTTGGGGGCAGCTAGGTGGTGCAATGGACAGAGCACAGGCGCTGAAGTCAGGAGGACCTGAGTTCAAATCTGAACTCAGACCAAACAACTGATACTTGCTAGCTGTATGACCCTGGGCAAGTCGCTTAACCCCAATTGCCTTTAAAAAAAAAAAGAATATTCTACCCAGCAAAACTAAATGTAATCCTACAAAGGAAAAAAAATTGATCTTTAAAAAAGAAAAAAAAAGAGGACTTCCAAGCATGCCTGATAAAAAGACTGGACCTAAGTAGAAAATTTTACATACATAGGGGTCAGATGAAGCATAAAAAAGTAAATATGAGTGAAAAATAATAAGGGACTAAACCAGGTTAAAATGTATACCTTCTCATATGGGGAGATGATATATGCTGTCCCTCAAATTTTTTCATCACCAGGGATCACACAGGAAGTCTAATTAGATAGAGTGCCTGGGTATGATTCTGTTGTGTTCCAATGACCTCAAAATAAGACTGAATGGGTTAGGAAGAGGAATGCACAAGGAGAAGCGAAAGGAAGATTGGGGATAATTATCTCACAAAAGTGGTGCACAAAAAAGAGTTTGTACAATAAGGAAAGGGAAATAGGAAGTGTAGATGACACCTGAACCTTCCTTTCATCTGAACTACTTAAAGGTTATTTTCCTTTTTTTTTTTCTTTTCAGCAAGGCAATTGGGGTCAAGTGACTTGCTCAGGGTCACACAGCGTGTCAAGTGTCTGAGGCCACATTTGAACTCAGGTCCACCTGACTCCAAGGCTGGAGCTCCATCCACTGTGCCACCTAGCTGCCCCTGAACTATTTAAAGGAAAGAAGAATACACATATACACAGTTGGGAACAGAACTACATCTTACCTAAGGGACAAATAGAAAGGAAGGAGATTAAGGGAAAAGGAAAGAATAAGAGGGGTGGGTAAATTAAAGGAGGCATTAGTGAAAAGCAAAACATACTCTTAAAGAGAGGGCAAGGGAAAACAGAGGAGGATAAATATAAGAGAAAAAGATGGAGGGAAATACACAGTTAACAATCATAATTGTGAATGTGAATGGGATGAACATAAATAAATTGGAAGATAGCAGATTTAGAAATAAGAATCCAACAATATATAGTTTTTTTTATTTTTAATTTAGTATTTTATTTTCCCCAGTTACACGTAAAAACAATTTTAACATTCATTTTTAAAACTTTAAGTTCCAAATTTTCTCCCTTCTTCCCTCCCCACCCCACCCACCTGCATTGAGAAGGCAAGCAATTTGATGAGTCATACATGTGTAATCATGCAAGACATTTTCATAATAGTCATGTTATAAAAAAAGGTATAGGCAAAAAAAATAAAGAAAAATAAAGAAATTTTAAAAAAAATATGCTTCAATCTGTATTCAAACACCATCAGTTCTTTCTCTGGGGAAGGATAGTACTTTTCATCATAAGTCCTTCAAATTTGTCTTACATCATTACGAAGATCTAAGACATCTCCAGAGGCCTCGGGACGGAAAATGCTGTCCACATCCAAAGAAAGGACTATGGAAGTTGAATCATTATCACTTATTTTTTACCTTCTATTGAGTTTTATTTCATCTTTCTGATGGTTCCTCCTAGTGGTTTTAATTTTTACTTACAACTTCACTAATGTGAAAATATGTTTAATGGGTATGTAAATGTAAAGGGTGCAGGGGAGGAAGGGGGAGAAAAATTTTCAACTCAAAAGCATATGGAAGTGACTGTTGATAAATCAAAATAAATTAATAATATAAATAAATAAATAAAATTTTTGAAAGTTCCTATACGAGAAAAAACAAAAAAACCCCAAACTTGTCTTGCATCAACAATATGTTGTTTACAAGAAACGTAAACAGAAAGATACATACCAACTTAAAATAATGGACTACAGCAGAATTTAATATACTTCAGTTTACATAAAAAAAGGCAAGGGTAGCAACCACAATCTCAGACAAAGCAAAAGAAAAAATAGACCTAATTTAAAAAATGAGAAAGGAAACTACACTTTGCTAAAAGGTACCATAAACAATGAGTTAATATCAATAATAACCCCCCACACACACACAATAGCACAGTATCTAAATTCTTAAAGGAAAAGTTAAATGAATTGTAGGAAAAACAGACAGCAAAACTGTAATGGGGGGGAACCTCAATTCATCCTTCTCAAACTTACATAAATTGAACCAAAAAATACAAAAAAAGTTAAGGACCAGAATCAAATTTTAGAAAAGTTAGACATGCTATACTTCTGGAGAACAGTCAATGGGAATAAAAAGGAATATATCTATTTCTCCATTATGCATGACACTTCACCAAAACTGACCACGTATTAGGACATAAAAACTTCACAAACAAATGAATATTTGTGGGATGCAGCCAAAGCAGTAATTAGGGGAAATTTCATATTTCTAATTTCTTCCATCAAAGAACGAATGAGAAAGAGCAGATAAATGAACTGGACAAGCAAATTAAAAAAAAAAACACCACCTAGAAAATCAATGAATTAACCCTCCCTATTAAACACCAAAAAAGAAATGCTGAAAATCAAGAGAGATGAACAAAATTGAAAGCTAAAAAAACCCATTAAATTGCTAAAGCTAGAGCTATTTAAAAAAAAACAATAATAGATAAGTAATTAGCCAATTTGAATAATAAAAGAAAACCAAATTACTAGCATAAAAAATGAATTCACAACCAATTCAGAAATAAAAGCAATTATTAAATATGCTAATAAAACTGACAGTCTAAATGAAATGGATGAATATTCACAGAAATATAAATTGCCCAGATGAACAGAACAGGAAATAGAATACTTAAATAAATTTCTTAGGAAAAGAAATTGAACAAGACATAAATGAACTCCCAAAGGAAAAAAAAAAACCCAGGACCAGATGGATTAACAAGTGAATTCTACTAAACATTTAAAGAACAATTGATTATACACTGTGATCAAGCTGGATTTATACCAGGAATGGAGGACTGGCTGAATATTAGGAAAACTACAAGCATAACCAATCACATTAACAAGAAAAATAATATGACTATTTTAACAGATGCAGAAAAAGTTTTTGATGAAATACAATACCCATTCCTATATAAAAAAAACCCCAACAAACATTTGAAAGCATAGGAATAAATAGAGTTGTCCTTAAAATGGTAAGTAATATCTACCTAAACCAAAAACAAACATTATCTGTACTGGCAATTAAGCTAGAAGCTTTTCCAATAAGATCAGTGGTGAAGCAAGGATGTCCATTATTACCATTACTATTCAAAATCACATTAGAAATGCTAACTCTTGGCAATAAAACAAGAAAAAGAAATTGAAAGAATAAGCAGAGGCAACAAGGAAACAAAACTTTTCCTTTTTGCAGAAGATATGATGGTTTATGTAGAAAACCTAGAGAGTCAACTAAAAAGTAATTGCAACAATTAGCAACTTCAGTAATGTTGCAGAATATAAAACAAACTCAGACAAATCATCAGCCAAA